ATATATTGACAAAACATTAGACAACACACGTGAGGACAGTTCAAACATATAAAAGTGAAACCATTACACAACCAAGGCATAGCTACAGATAGATAATAAACATATTTATACCACAATGATTGTTGCTGTTCCAACAATTCTGTCACACCTAAAATTTCAAGTGTGAGTATTTTGAAATGTCAAAGGAGGTGACTCAGTAGGAGTGGGGAGTTTTGTTTCTATACCTTGAACTAAAGGTAGAGATTTGGCTTTACTCAGGTAATTTTAAAAATGGATGTGTCAGACTGTAGTAGAAGAAATGAACTGTTAGTTCAGTTTAAGACTGTTCAGCCTCATCACAGTTACCCTCTTACTACTGAGGCACTGAAGGAGGTGAGTAGAGGATATAGCTGACTCTGGGAAAATTCTACCCTAAAGCTATTTCCACAATGACTTGATATTTCACTGTTCATCAGAGACTGAGCAACTCTAATACTTTTTAAGATTTCTTGAATTTGTGGTGTTCAGGTTTTTATATTTCCTTATTTCTTCAAAGATTTAGACACATTAATATTAAAATAGTTCTAAAGTGTTTCTTAAAACCAAAGACAACAAAGAAGTAGGTCTTATCTATCCTATTCTAGCAGATTTGGGAGTAAGGAAAGTTGTGACAGCTAGACAGAAGAGAGAGAAACAAGCCAGAGACCCAGTCTCTGTGGTACTGTTTATCAGGTAGACTGGCTTTGGCTGCAAGTAATAGCTACCAGATGAAAATGGTCTATATTATTTTCTTCTTTGCTGTGGTCAAAGACCTGACAGAAACAACTTAAGGGAAGAAGATGTATTCTGGCTTACGGTTTCAGAGGCTTCAAAGCCAGGTGTCCTAGTTTGTTCTTCATTGCTGTGACAAAATATTCTGACCAATACCAACTTGGGGAGGAAAGGGTTTATTCAGCTTATATCTTCCAGGTCTCAGTTTATCAGGGAGACCAAGGTAGGAACTCAGGGCAGGAACCTGGAAGCAGGAGCTGGAGCACAGATCATGGAGGAAAGTTGCTTACTGGCTTGCTCCCCTGGTCCAAGCTCAGCCTGCTTTCTTATGCAACACAGGCCCACCAGCCCAGGGGTGGTACCACCCACAGTGGGCTGGGCCCTCCCACATCAGTCATCAAGAAGATGCCCCTCAGACATGGCCACAGGCCAGTCCAATAGAGGCAATTCCCCAATTGAGGCTCCCTCAACCCAGGTGTGTCAAGTTGACACTAAAGCTATCCAGCACACCAGGGTTGCTTGGCCCCCTGTACTGGGACAGAGTATCCTGGCAGAGGGAACATAAAGCTCTGGCTGTTCTTCACCTCTTGGCAGATAGGAAGTAGAAAAATGAAGATACAGGAAGGGGCCAGGAAAAACTAGATCCTTCAAAGAATACCTCCAGCACTAGTTCATCCAACCAGGCCCCACCTCTTGCGTTTCAATAATGCCAGCACATTTTGAAACCATCAAAAGAGCCATCCGCTAATTAGGTCTTGATCTACTTGTCTCTGGAAATGTTCTCAGAAATGCACCTGGAGGTTAAAGAAAGAAAGGAAAAGATGGTGAGGGGTGGAGAAGATGGATGGGAAGAGAAGAGCAAGGGATTAGGAGAGGTAAAAAAAGAACAAAAAAGTTCAAAAACAAAAGTAGGTAAACGTAAGGATGGAAATGAAAAATGAAAACATATGAGAAGTTTAAAAAATAAACAACCCAATAAGTTAAAGACAGACTGCTGCTGGAAATACACTAGAAGGACCAAAAATATATACATAAAAAAGGAGGAAAAGAAAAAAGAAAGGGAAAAGATAACGAGTAGTAAAAAAACAAGATCATAAATTTTATTTGAAAATACAACAAAGAGGAGCTTGGAGACGGCTCTGGTTAAAATCGCTCACTACTCTTACAGAGGACCTAGATTCCGTTCCCAGCACTGATACAGCAGCTAAGAACCATCCTTAACTGTCGTTCTAAGGGATCCAATGCCCTATTCTGGTCTCCATGGGCACTGCACAAGATTGGTGCACTTACACACATGCAGGCAAAATACTCATACACATAAAATAAACACAATGAAGAGGGTCAGTGAGATGAATCAGTGGGTAGAGGTGCTTGTTGCCCAAGACTGCTGACCTGAGGACTTGATTTTGATCCTTGGAACTCACATAAAGGTGGAAGGAGAGATCCAAACCCACAAAGTTGTCCTGTGACCACCACATGTGTGCTGTGGTTCCCTTCCAATTCCATCATGCTTACCCACACATAATAATAATAAAATATGGTAAAGTCAAAGGCTACTGGAAGTGTAGTAAAAAGAAAAATGGGGGAAACACAGGGGAAGAAGGCAAAGAAAAAAATAGGAAGTGTTAGAGCAGACTTGCTTCTGGGTCCTCGAAAATTGGAGACTGCCAGATTCATGTATGGGGCCAGGTAGAGGATGGTGTAGGCTGAATTTGTGGGCTCTTGTCTTTCCTTTGGCTTATGTTAGTGTTGAGCCTGTATTGGACAACTGTCTGATGTCTGCCAGAGCTGTCTCGACTTCCTTCTTTGCATACCAGGTGCCTCTGCTGGCCATATTTAGTTTTGAAGTCTGTGGGCTGGGCAGGTTCTCCTTTCCTGGTGAGACTCTGGAGACAGTAACCCTAGTTGGCCAGTGTTCTGTTTGGGGACATCTCCTGTGTTGGCGGGGAGTTGGAGAAGCAATCACTGAGGTCTGCACAGGTGGAGGACGTGCCTGTGCCTTTCTGTCTTCCTAAGTACTGATGACCCTGCTGGAGGGATACAGCTGCAGATGTCAAATAGCCTGCCAGTTCTTGAACTCTACGGGGGTGAATGGCAGATAGATGGTTGTAGAGATTGATCCATCTGCTGACTTCAGGTTCCTGGCCATTAAATTCTAGGGTCTTTCTCAGTAGATAAGGTCTGTGCCCAGTCACGGAGAGCAGGACTACCTTTTCCTATGCATTCACAGTCTGAGCTAAGCTCCCTGCCGCCTGCACTCTTAGGTTTGTGGGCAACTTGTGCTCCCTCTCTCCACAACTGTCTCCCCATATCCTTGGGCTGTGTGGCCTGTTGAATTCAGGCTCCCTGACTTGTGGTTGTTTCCTGTTCTTGGGCCCTCAGGGTAGCTTGGTTTCAAACAGTAAGTTCCCTTTTGAGATGTCAACTGGCCACTGCCCTGTGCCTATAGAGTGACAGAGTGGGATTCCTTTCCACTTTTGACCCATCCATAGGAAGAGTCACTCTCTCACCAAATCTTGCTACTGGGTCTGTAGCTTGTGAGGGCTGTGTGCTTGTTCTGAAGGTGAACTGCCAGTCTCTTTTCTCTGGAGCTCACTGGCTTGCCTTTTGCATGAGGCCTCTGTTTCCTCTCACCTTGGTAGGGAGCTGGGTGTCCCGTTGCTCTCCTTGAGAATTTCCAAAACTCTTCCTGTCTTTCTATCTTTGGAATAGAGCTTATTATATTTTTATTCTGACTTTCTCCTTTACCAGATTGCAGGGGAGCAGTCTAGTCTGCCATATTACACAGAAGTCTGCTGTTTGTTTTTAATGTTATCCTTGTAAGGTGAGTTTGTATAGACATCTGTATCTACTACATTTCACACATACATGCACTGTATATGTGTAATGTGAGCTTTAATGGAATCTGGAAATGTTATAATTTTCAATGATACTTGTAAATACTGGCAGCTAACAAAAGAGAAAAGAAAGCTATGAAATCTTGGTTTGACTTTGTAAAGTAACATTAGTTATAGTTAATTATGTGAACTTCTATTTATCCCTTATATCTATGCAGTAAAATGATGAAGACAGCAAATAATGAAACAACCCCTCCACAAAATAAAAAAGCAATCAAAAGGACAGCAGTTAACTATATGTCACATTGAAATTGTTTTATTGAATTATGATAAATAATAATGCATCAACAATTATTTTTATAGCCATGCGATGCTATGGTTTGATAATGAATTTTAGAACCCAGAGAAAACATTGATTACATTCCAGAAAAAAAGCTTTAGGTAACAGTGGTCCTATGGTTGCCAAAGTTAAGTTGCTTCCATTTTAGTGAGTTGAATTTAACTACAGTTGAAGTTGAGTGGCATAAGATTGCCAAGGCAACTGTAAGGGCAGAAGAGTGAAAGACTGGTCCAATTGTAGTTTAATTGAACAAAGTAAATAATACAGATTGATGACCATGATTATAGGGCTCCCAAATGCAAGCGTGTAGAGCTCATAACTGTAGAAAAAGCATGATATGGACCATGGTGCCCTGATCTAACCGTATCTAACTCACTTAGCCTAGAGAGCTCTGCTGCTTCTGAGAATATGCCATAAATAATTATCATAAATATATTTATAAATACATA